TATATATATATATATATATATATATATATAAAGTGTAAGCAAAAATATAAAATTAGTTTCAAGACTACGAAAGCGACCCCTTTTCTTACGAAACTGGAGCACACAGTGAAATAAAAGTTTGGTTTACTTCTTTAATTTACATATATTAACTGGAATGGCTGCTACCAACACACCTAATCATAGATAGCGTGCGTTTACTGGTAATACGTGTAATCGATTTTATATGGTACGTCTGGTATAGCAGTAATGGATTTTGTTACGAAGGGACGAACGTTCATATGTTAAATAGTTTCACTTCACACAATAGATAGTTGCACAGGCTCCGACGTCTCTGTGCTAAGGAAATTTTAAGCAAATATAGCAAGTTTACATTTCTGTTCTAATTATGTTTGATGAGCCTCAACGTTCAGAAAAACAATTCTAAAAGGGCAAAGTGTGCAGCAGATTGTTCAGCTTTTGTCGACATTGTTTCATATCTTGTAGTTTTACGTCATTACAGACGTCTTTCTCTCAATCTCTGATTTTTTTTTTTGAAACTATAGAAGCTTCATGACATTGAAAACTTTCTGAATTTCTGACAGAATTTGAATGCAGTGAAGCCTTTTTCGTAACTTGTAATTTATCCTCATAAAATCGACCATACACCGTATATCTAAGCGACGCCATTAGTGAACACGGAGTATTTCAAATGTGCTAAGTTAAGGGTTAAAAGTTTTCTGGTTTCGAATCAACTTTTGATAAAACAATCTAGCTACGTAGAATAGAACTAAAATCGATCAGACTTGTTTAGGCAGTGACACTTTTCTTTGGGAAATGCTATATTCGGTTATATTTAGCATTAATATAGTATAAATGTACCGTTATTTGATTTAGTTAATAGTTCTAAAAGCCATCTAGATCTGGATGTGGCCTAATAGTTGGTGTATTTGGACTGTATCTCATTGCTGCGATAATGTGTTCCACACTTTGGTTTGCTATAAGATTGACGGTTAAGTTCCTCTTTTCGTCTACATAAGTGTAGCCCAAGTGTAGACGGCAGTTGTTGTTGACTTGCTACCTTCTAGTTAGTTTATTAGTTCAAAATTAGGGACAGCTATACATTCTGTCTTGTGTTGCTTTGTACGAAAGTAATCTGGTACCAGTTGATGGAATTCCGAGCAACTTATAGAAGCAGAAAAAATATAACCATGAAAAAATTATATTTGTAGGTACTTTTCTACGTCTCGCAACACAATGGACATCGTGATCTATGTTAAAGCCTTTAATCTTGCCATTTTGTCCTCAAAATATAACGTTATCAGAAATAGCATTGTCAGTATTTGAAAACTGTGATCTAAATATTTCTCTGCACAAAATAAAAAAATATTTTGATGAACTTTTAACTCTTTGGCATCCTATTTTCATGTCGTTCCATTTACCGAAATTTCATTTTCTAGTTATCTTTTCTCTGATTAACTTCTTACGAATATAACAATTGGATGTACGGTTGGAAACCCCTATTGTCACATCCCGACTAAATATGGCAAAGATAAGGTCAGATTGCCTAAGTTTGATTTTTTTAAATTATTTTACATCAATTCTTTGTGTTTGAGACCTCTTGATCCTCCTGCTTATTGTTATTTTACATTCATGGATAGTATTTAAATACACGAAGGAAAAGGCGGCAACTTTAATGGGTCAACGGCAATGAGTTAAACCGCTAGAGTAGTTTTTTTTACAAAGGGAGTGCTTGCGAAACACTTAGTGGGTCGCAAATAACCTGGCGGTGTAGCGTAGAAACAATAATCCACTTTTCTATAGTTATTATTGAAAAAAAACAAAAAAACAATTACAATAAAGTATTTTATAATAACAATTTAGATGAGATGATCATGTAAAAATACAAGTGAAAACAACTTTATTTATGTGTATCAGTTTTTAGGTATTTGTGTATGTGCCTTTCTTCCCACTTTGCCATGAAAATCACGATTTGTGGCGTGTTGCGTTTTTCTTTTTATTAGTTCCATTTGTGGCAGAAAGATTGGGAAACGCTATGCTGCAGAGATATTCACGTCACCGCCTACGCGAATGCGCATGTGCGTTTCTGAGATTGGATACCATTTTGGTTTCGTATCACGAACGTTAGTCTAAATGTAATCTAGGAAATGAGGCACGTTAAGGAACAAAAACGTGTTGAAAATGTATCTCGAAATCCCTCGTGATCTTCCGAAGGACGAAACTGTAACCAAATGATTTTTTTTTCAGTGAAAATAGATTAAGCAACGATTTCCCCCAAAGTAACAGTTTGAGTTATGAAAGTAAAGGTTGAATTTAAATACACATCACGTGCTGAAGTTGTGGTGTCAGTTAAAACGTTTGTGTTTTTAGAAAGTCGAAAGCTTCATGACAATTCATCGTGTTGTGAAATGAGATAATGTGATCTCAACTTATGCTTAAACTGCGAAACCCAACAATTAATCAAAGTATATATACATAATCTAGTTTAAAACGTTTGTCACAAATTATAATTTACTTTTTCAATTTTATATTTCAAATACGTTATTGTCACTTGATGTTTTAGATAATTATTTCTCGTAACATCTAAAAATCTTGTATCCAAAATCTAGCATGGAAAATCGAACCGAAAATTCATTTTCCAAAAAACAAAAATATGAAGTTTGGTGTTTGTAATGTGGTTTAGCAGTGAGATTATTCGTAGTTTTACTCAACAGCTAGTATCGCGTGTAATGTGGTTTAGCAGTGAGATTATTCTTAGTTTTACTCAACAGCTAGTATCGCGTGTAATGTACAAATACACGCAAACAGTATTGTAGTATTTTTAAATCACGTGTCGTGTTGCTCGAACTAAAGACATTTCTTGAAAAGTTATAGTTATTATGTTTGGTGTGCGTGCGTGCGTGTGTATAAAGAATGCAGAGAAGCAAGCGCAAGTCGTTAACATTCGTGTTTCGTGGTATTTATATATAAGATCTTGGAATATTTTCCAGTGTAAGGACGAACACATACATTTCATAAGATTATCGAGTTGTTTTCAAAACTTCCGCTTTCAACACTTTCATTTATGACCTACATTATTATATTTGACGTCTGGAAATACAGAAAATACAAAAGAAAAGCGAGCAATTTATACAATGCACCGGCATTTTACATTTGCTTTAAATAGAGCAATACATCTTGTTTCTAGTACCATAAGTTTATCAGAATTAAAATATCGTTCCAAGTGTCCTGTATTACTTCCCACCATTCAGATAAATCATTTGCCCTTTGCCATTCTAAGTTTACACATAAGCCTGTACATTCTTAATAATATTCATATCGGGGTTTTGTGTAGGCCAAGCCATTGTTGCGGGTGTTCCATCGGCCATTGTTTTCCGTACAAGTATCATTTCACCATATACGCTACATGCTTGGTATTACTGCCCAACAGATCTTGATTTTGAAGGAATGATATGATAAGAATTTGATTGTACCTGTCAGCAGTCAGGGTGCCATCAATGTTTTGTAGATGTTTAACATGAATGAGACACAAACCATACTTCTAATGGTTCCCTGAAATGCTTCACTGTAGATGTTGAACGTTGTTGACCTTTATGCCGTTTCCCTCTCTGAAAATAAATAAATTATTGTTGACAAACAATTTGAATTTCAATTCATCTGTAAAGATTATCCTTCTCGAGGTTTGCTTAGCCTGTTGTTTGAAGTCTAATGCCCGTCTCAACTTTTCAGTTTGATTACCTCTCCCAATTAGTGGCGTTCTGAGCAGTTGCACATTCATTGAGGCTACTTCGTACTCGTGTATATTATTGTTCTCTATAAGTAACATTCTCATCTAAACTTGCAGCTAAGTCATTGGAAAGTATTCTGTTGGATTCCCGTGTATCACGTGAAGAGCATATCTTGAGTTACTTAACTTTTGCAGTTTGAACTTTCTATATAATAGAAATACAATACGTGGTTCTTAAAGCATTGGGTAATCTACAGTATAACAGAAATACAATACGTGGTCCTTAAAGCACCGTATAATCTACAGTATAACAGAAATACAATACGTGGTCCTTAAAGCACCGGATAATCTACTGTATAACAGAAATACAATAGGTGGTTCTTAAAGCACTGGGTAATCTACAGTATAACAGAAATACGATATATGGTTCTTACAACACTGGGCAATCTACTCTGTAAAGACAATACAATATATAGACCTTGCAGAACTGGTTAATCAACTTTGTAAGAACAATACAATATATGGACCTTACAGAACTGGGTAATCTACTCTGTAAGGACAATACAATACATTCCATTATTTGTATATTTGGATTATATTCTAGACTTTTAGTTACATTTTGAACAGTAGCTGAAAATAAACTAATGGATATTAAGATATTCTGTTGAAATGTATATATATATTCTTTTCTGGGGGATATATTTTATTTACTCAAGTGTATAACTAGACATTACCTGTTCCCAAACGTTTAAATCTGTGTTTAAACTGTAATAAAATTTTACTTCTCCTAAGGCAGTTATTACCATGATTCGGAAAGAAATAGAATGAGTCATTATGTATCTATCAGTAAATATACTAATTTTAATATCAAAATTAGAACGTGCAGGTCCTTACCTTCATGAAAATGCCAATTTCAAAATAAAATCTGAAGCTTGAAGAGAAGAAAACAGTACTATGTAAGGTATATAAGCATAGAACTAAGGCACAGTTTTGTGTTAGCAGTTTAATACACGCGGAAATAGAACCATAATGAGTGGGCTATACTTTCATAACTACCTCTGCTGTATGGACTGAGTTTTTGTACTGTACCTGCTCTATACCCTGCTGTATTGCAGTATACGTATGTACTAGGTGTGACCCTTTTACTGATTAAAAAATTAATCACAATTATATACGTAACAAGGATGAGTGTGAGAAGGTAAGGTGTGAATAAAAAAAATTTATTATGATATTCGTTAACCGATGTTTTCTCAAAATACAAAACAGATTTTCTGCAAATATATTGTCCGTTATGAATTATTGATAGCAACTTTTCCACTAATTAAGTCTAATTTCTAAATTGATCTTTTTTTTCCAGTGACATTCGGCATGATGAGCCCCACAATGTACTATCACACAAAAGTTATCAGTGAACTCTTTCTAGACTCATCTTACAACGATACTTTGAATAACGTTAGAGGTTCGACTCAAGTTATAGATTTTTGGAGGGTAAGAAAGAGACACTCGGCTAATTCTTTTTTGTGATCCTGCGGTTTTATTATTAAATTCTTGTGATTCTGCTTTTTAAACTCTCCTTTTATGTTTGTACATTTCTCTCGTCTCTACGTTTTACTTATCTGTCTTTTGTTTTGTGATTCGTTATTTCTATTATCAAAGTTTTGTAATTCCGCGCTTTTAATTCACGGGAGTGTAACTTTGGTTTCAAATGTAGGGGAAGGCCTTTATGTGCTCTGCAAAAATTTATTCTACAAGACTCAATATTTTACTTTTAATGAAAACGTTAGGAGAATATATCACCCTTTGATTAAAAATTCACATACCTACGATAGCGTATTTTTATTTTTGAATATTTATTCATGCTTATAATATCTTAAGCATGTGTATTTTTAATCAAATCTATCGCGAAATTTCATCCATTTTTACACATCACCCTGTCTTCCATGTAAATCAAGCTTATGCTTCTCTATCATTTAACTGTCTTGCATCGTTATGTGTTTTTGTTAATTCATCTAACTGTGTTTTGTGTTTCTAGTTTTATGATTTTTTTTTTATATTGGCACATTCTTAAGCCTCTGTTGCATATCTATTTTATTGTTAATTCGAAATGAATGTGGTAACAAGCATTAAAACTTTACGATAAGCCATTAAAATAATATTAGAAAAAAATTGTTAATTTTAATTATCACTTACTACATATCAAGAAAACACTATTTCCTCGTTCTGTATTTGAAGAATTATTTTGTGATCAGTATTTCTGTAACAGTGAAACATGTGATTGTTGTTTAGAATTGTTCGGATGTGTATTTTGGTTCTTGACAGATAATCATTATTTCTTTAAATAGTTAAACGTATGATTGTTGTTTCGGATGTTGTATTTTGGGTCGTGACGGAGATTCAGTATTTTTGTAATAGTTAACATGATATAATGTACGTTTTTTGTCTGACCATTACAATACTTGAATATTTTGGTTTTGAATGAGATAACCCATATACCTCTAAGACTGAATGGCATGTTGTTTTCATTGCTAATAAGATAAATGATTTTGAGAGACCTTTATAATGTCCATTTGAAAAAGAAATTTCGATCAAAAGACCTCATAAGGACTGCTTCCTGTTAATTTTACAGCTTATTACGTACTACTTTGTCCTTGTTTGAAGCATTTTCAAGGTTCCTGGTTAACAATGAGCTTTTTGAAAGATAAAATATAGTTATTTATATTCTCTTCTCGGATATGATGTATGTGGATAAAATAATAAAACGGAAATTAAGTAGTTATATGTAAATTGTGTAATTGGTATTTAATAAAAAGGAGAAAAAATGTTTAGATAACTTGCGATACTTGTCACTTGTTTTTGCAGCCGTGAGTTACGTATTCTTCAGTCGTTGTTTTTACGTTTATTTTCTTCTAGTTCGTTGACAACGTTATGCTGGACAGTCTATATTGGGAAAACTGGTATAACAATGACGCTGTTGGTAAACAAGATCGTAACGTTTTATATGAAAATCGACTTTTAGGTTCTCCTAGACTTAGACAGTTACGCGTGAGAAATGATTCGTGTAAAGTCCATGATGAATTTATCTCAACTATTTTTGCGTGTTATGATAATTATGCTCCTGACATAGAAGACAAGAGACCATTTGGCTTGATGAATGGAACAGCGTAAGCTTAATTGTTATTTACTTTATTCAGAGTGCGTAGAGTGACCTGGAGTATTTTAGACATTTTTGTAGATAATACTTTAAGTTTCATCATCAAATGAGAAAATGTATGTATTGTTTTAACCTCACAAAGTTTGAATATAACATTGTCATCAGTTAATAGCTGCTGGGTGCTGGCGGAAAGCCAGGCCTTGACAGTGAAATAAGTATATATTAACTTTAATATCAAACCTAATAGTATTTCAAAACTTAATGAAATGGTGTTATTGGGAAGATTAACATGACAGTACTAACGTTAGGTGGCACTCATAAAGACGAAGAAAATAAAAACGCATAGTATGTGATACGTTGTTGAAATTGTTTTAAGCGCAAAGCTACAGAATGGGCTATTTGCACTCTGTTCACCTTGAGGGCGTGGAACAAACCTTCAGTATACTGTGATTCAAATCAACGAATAATACGATGGTATAAAGACTTGATTGAAAACTTATGATGATTTCAAATATTCCCATTATGTGGCTCTTTTCACTTTCAGTTATTTACACAAAATGATATACAGCAAAGCTTATATAGTTTTCAATAAATATGCATTTTTTTTATTTTCAAAATGCATCATAATTATCCACCAGGTATGGAATACATTATAAATAGAATTTAAGAAATCATCCAAAGAAAACTTTCTTGTTTATATTTTGAAAATACGACTAATACTATTTAACATTTTAAGAACATAAAATAATTTATTTAACCAAATTGTAGCATACACACCTTTTCAAAGATTCAAACCATTTCAGAATGTAAATGTGACAACAGAGAGTAATCGTGAGCTTCATAGTGTAAACGTGATGATATGGAAGTAACCATGAGAATCTCGGTGTGTAAATGTGACAATATGATGCTTTGGTCCCTTCAAAAAGGCATATGCAAAACAATGTTGAAATAAATTATTTTATCTTCTGGGAATGTATAAGTCATCATTTCAAAATGTGGTATATCAACTCTCCAGTCTGATCTGCAAATTTCGAAAACTGATAATTAAGTATTTATACATTTTTCGCTAGTCAGTGTTTCAAAATGACTGTTGATTTAATGGATGTTTGTTTGTTTAAGTAGGATAAATTCATATCGAAACTCATGCTAAATTGTGTGCCTATAATAGTGAAAATATATCTTCTGTTGTTATGACATATATAAATTCATAAAACTTTAAAGGGACAAAGGAACTTAAACCACCCTATTTCAAAAGTAAAACTGTCTAAACTGCACACGACTCCTACGCTGGCAAAATTTGAAGTATGACCCCTTGTCCTATTGTTTTCACTGCTTAACACAAAAAAGTTTGATGGATCTATATTTTCAATACCCATAATCAGGGCTGACAAGAGGAGGGGAGCTGCCCCGACGTCCTGGGTCTGTTGAGGGACCCGGCAGTGGGATATTCCAAAGCTCACTAGAAATGCATACTACCTAATGAGCTAAAATGGCTACTACTTTTTCATAGATTCATGAAGAAATTTGTCACCTAATTTCTTTTATGAAAAATCAGCAAAAGTTAATAAATAGAATGAAAGGGGGCCCAATGATGTTACTTACTCCAGGGCCTGGGCAGGTTCTCGACACCCCTGCCCTTAATAATCTTAAACACTTCAACCAAATCCCTTCTGACCCTTCTCCTCTCCAGAGAAAACAAGTTTTAGAGATTTCGTCTCTCCTCAAAGGACAATCCCACCATCCCAGGTATCATCCTAATAGCTCTTCTCTGAACCTTCACCAACAACTTAATGTCCTTCTTGAGGAAGGGAACCAAAAACTTGCACAGTACTCTAAATGAGACCAAAAATCTTAATGTCATCTGCAAACTTCAATATTTTGTTAGTAATTCCAGATTCAATATCATTAATATAAATAACAAACAGCAGAGGACCCAGCACAGAGCCTTGAGGCACACTGCTTGTAACTGTGATCCAGTCAGATCTAGTTCCATTTATTACCACACTCTGCTTTCTACTCTCCAGCCAATTTTCTATCCAATTTAATAACATTTCTCCCACACCCACAGACTTCATTTTGGAAACAAGTCTTTTGTGAGGCACCTTACCAAATACTTTCTGAAAATCAAAGTAAATTATATTTAAAGTATATAAAGGCAATTGAGATTAAGAATAACTTAATAAATCAAAACTTTTAACAAAATATAAATGTTTACTATAGTCTTTATTTGGTTTTTAATAATGTGTAGTTTATTGTTTTTTTAAATCTGTGTATCTAAATGTGATGTAATAACTATGCTTTTTTAATATTTATTCTTGGGTGGCATAAATAAGTCCTTGGAAAAACCTGGTCTTTAGAATTTGGGACTTTTTTATTAACTAGTTGGCAATACTTTTCCGAGAAACAACTTAATGGATCCAGTCACTGGGGGAGACTGGCTTCTTATAGTGGTGCTGGATCATATATTGATTTAGGTACTTCCAAGGACAGTGCTAAACACATCATGAATGAACTTCGACAGAACTTGTGGATAAGCAGAGCAACAAGAGCAGTGTTTCTGGATTTCACTGTTTACAATGCAAACATCAATCTCTTCTGTATTGCAAAGTAAGATTTATGTAGGTTTCTGTACCTAGAAGCTAAAAAAAAATTATCTATATAATATGTAAAACTTAATTTGTTATCGGGCTTAATAGTACTTTTTTTCAAAATAGTTCACATAAAATAACATATTTATTATTTATATATTGAAATTTACAAAATTATTATTTCTCTTTGGAAAGTTTAAGAGATCTCTCAGAATGTAGAACTATCCATAAAATATTAATGATGTGATGATTAAATAAAACAATAAGTAAAAAATATTTATGAAATATCTGTAAACATGTAGTTAAAACAGTGACTTCCATACATGCTTTTTGTAATTTTTTCTAAAACAAACAAACAATTAACTCCCAAAACATGAGATATGATTATGTAGTTTGAACAAGTATTTTTTTCTGTCTGTATATTATAGTATGAATAATGAACTATATAGGAATAGTAAGAAAAATTATTTTAAAGTTAAGAAAAATTGTAAATGAAAATAAAAGGTAAAAAAAAACAACTGAACTTTGATCTTGGCTATCATCTTTTAGCCTTTTTCAGAAAATGCTGTTTTGTGACTTTGTACAAAGAGGGTAATATTTCAACTCAAGTCAAATAGAAAAAAAATCATATATATATTTTAGGATCGTGTTCGAGTTTCCAGCTACTGGAGGAATGATACCATCCTGGTCTTTTCGAACAGTTAAGCTACTTCGTTATGTTAACCCTTTTGACTACTTCATTATGGGCTGTGAGATCTTGTTCTCTGTGTTTATTATGTACTACATAATAGAAGAAGCTATTGAGGTAAATATTTATTTTTCTGTGAATCCCTTCAACTTGTGGCAGTTTTTTAATATACTATTGATAAAGGTTTTATTTTGAAATGTTATGTGAAAATCTAACAGCAAAGTGATAACTTTTCAGCCAATATACATAAAATGTTAGAGGGGTGTAGAGACAACTCCCGATTGAAAGAAATGCTTATTTATAGTAAAATAGTGCAAAAGTAACCATCAAATATTACCCAAATGCTATCTTGTTATATAAGGATGCAAATATAACATATAGACAAGAGATAAATGTTAGCCTATTGTAGAAGAGTGCGAATATAACTTCTAAACAATAAACTAACATTAACTTGTAGTAGAGAGATGCAAAAATAACACTTAAATAGAAGACATATGCTAGCTAATAACTGATGAATAGGAAACTTCAAAGGCCAATGATAATGTTTATTAATTTTTGTCTTTTACAAATGTTAATACCTACCAGTGTACAGTGACAGAAAAGTATTTTTCTTAACAGAGAGAAAACTGTTTTAACATATATATGTTCTTAGGAAAGTAATTTTTATTAACAAAACAAATGAGCTAGCATAAATGTTAATTGCCATGTTTTTCAAAAGTAGAATTAAAATTGAAAACTTAAAGACCTCGAATCTCAATCCATTAATATAGTATCGATCTTCAACATTTAGATCAAGAAGAACAAGTGCAACTATTTCAAATCGATATGGAATGTTTTGGATATCGTAGTGATTGTGGTGAGTAGAATTTTTAAAGAGGATTATGCTGCATTTGTCATTAAAATCTTGAATGCATTAAATATTTCTGTTGTGTGAAAAACGAATAATTTTAAGATTATTATATAGTGAAACATTAACATAGAGGAAAGTTTTTGTGTCTAAAGAGCTTTACCTGCAAAACTTTTTTAATCTTTTGTATTATAGTAATCCAGGTGGAGAGTTCTATGCTTTGGACTTGAAACCCAAGTTGTTCAATTATTCTATACTCAGAAGTTAAAATTTTGGAGTCTGTGTAGCTGTTTTGTAGCTAATAAAGAAGTTTGTTTCTGAGTTTTATAGCACACATATTTTACATATTGATATAAGTGATGGAGTGAATGTCTTCGTTTATATTTCAGCTAATCATGCTTCTCAAGTATATTTAGAATGTGATAGTACTTAACTATTGCTTTAGAATTTCAAAAGTGTGTAGATGTAAATGTTTTGTCTTTTATATGTCATTTATTCTAGAAATCATTAGGCATTGTCTCAAGTGTATCTTAATTATATGTATCTCTCACTGCTAATATCATAGGAAGAAATGGTCCAGGAATGAATTTTGTTGACTCATATCTATGCTTCTAATACCCCAAGAGTATGGACCCTCGATGTATTGTGATGATGTTTAATTTTTTGGTGCAAGTATTCTAGAAATGTCATGTTGCACTTACTACATTGCATTTTTATGTATCTTTTGCTGCAAACTTCATTGTAATGAGTAGCATAAATGTATTATATGCTGCTTTAAGAATAATACAAACATGTGGCTTTGAGTGTGTTTTAAGTTGTAGCTTTTGTTGCAGCTGTCACTTGTATGTATAGCCTTCAGCATCTACCGTATCTTAATGGTGGACACCATGTTGGAGGGTCTGCTGAATAAACCAGATGAGTTTGCTGATTTTGAGTTTCTAGGATTCTGGCAAACTCAGTTTAACAATGCTGTAGCTCTGGCTGTGTTTTTTGCTTGGATCAAGATTTTCAAGTACATCAGCTTCAACAAGACCATGACTCAACTTTCTTCTACTCTCTCACGAGTTAGTTTTTTTTTTATAAATCAAGTTTTCTACTTGCTTTTATATATATAACTATAAATGTTACAATCCTGCCTTACAAGCTCTAATGAAATGGAATTTTAAAATGTATTAAAATTAAAACCACATCTTAAAGGACAAAAATAGCAACTTTAAGCTTGTCTATTTCCTGGAGGAACACGTAATTAAAACACTTGATGATTTTGTCTTCAAAACAGAATATCTACAAAGTCAAAGTTCTAATTATAAACAGGTTATTGTATGTCCAAAAACTGTTTAAAAATGTACCTTTGAATAAGAATTTTAATGTCTATATGTAACGGTTACCTCCTGAACATTTTATATGGGCAAAGATTACTTTTCAGAAGCTGCCTGACATTTAACCAAGATGGCTAAAAAAATATCAGTTTTTTTTTGTTTATGTGGTGTAAGAGTAGTAATGAGGCTGGTGAAATAATGACACAGGTTTAAATAAGAAACAAACAAAAATAATTTAAATTGCTTCTTTATCATTTTCCATAATCAAAAATTTCACATCAATAACAAATATTTGTGCTTAAAAAAGAGGATTAGCCAGTTGGGTTGGAAGCACCATTAACTAAGCATTTGATTTGTTTTAGAATAAGCTGATATTAGATTAATGATATTATTGTCTAAATGTTGATAATGGTTTCTTCCATTTTTGTAGTGTTCCAAAGATATTACTGGATTTGCTGTCATGTTCTTTATCGTCTTTGTTGCATATTCCCAACTTGGTTATTTATTGTTTGGCTCTCAAGTTCAGGACTTCAGTAGTTTCCTGAAGGCTATGTAAGCTTAAGATTTAAATTCATTCTTTCAAAATATTGGTCTTTGTTGCAATATTTAAAGATAAGAAAAATATTATAATTATCAAGACTTTAATAAAAATACACAGGTATAAGAATGGAATTGAAGTATATGTTTTTCCTGAAAAAGCTTTTCAGTCTAGGAACTATTATAAAACAGTATAATATTCAAGTCCTTGTTATCTCAGTTCAACTTGATGAGCTAGCTAACTGTGTAGACTTTAGAGTAATGTGATGTTATAAATCAAAGACTAACTTAAAACCGCATGCACAAGACTCAGAAAGGTATTGTTTATTTTAGGCATTATGGAATATGTTTTGAAATGACCTGTTGCAGTTTTAAACATTCTGGGGTGAGTGTGTGTGTGTGTGTGTGTGTGGGTGGGGGGT